GTCAGGAAACGGGCCGAGGCAGAGGATGGCACGGATGGAGTCTGCATGGGCCGCGAGGAACTGGGCCTCGGGTAACTGGGATTCCCATGGTTTCAGGAATCGGAACTTTTTCTCGAGGGTTGCTTTGAAGGAGGGTAGGATTGGGCGGAAGATGAGCACCCGGGGGAGACCATCAGCTCGGTTAATTTCTGCGGTCATCGTTCTATCTTCAGTTGCCTTTCTTTGGCTTCCTCTCCCCACTATTTACCAGCCCCTAAAAAATAATAAAAAATAAAAATCTTATACGCCTTTTGTCGAATTTGACCACAAATCTTTGCTCATATGAGACTGATCTCAAAGGTCTAAGAGCATATCCAAAAGGGATCTTAGGTTTTTTTATATATTTGAGTTTTTCATATATTTGAAGAGCAAATCTCTCATCCTAGAAAGAACAAATTTTCACTGTAGCCTCATTTTCAATTTTTATTATCAAAATCGACCTCCCTCTGTTTTATTTACCGGAATCGACCATGTTTCTCGCCACGTCAGCGCCGTGGCGAGAAAGCGGGTCGATTATTTTTTAATCGGCTTCGTAAACAGTCGGGGTTGGCAACCCCGACTGTTTAGTTGATCCGCTGGCCAGGCCCTTAACTAATTGGTCGGGGTTGGGAACCCCGACCAATTCGAAATGGTCCCCGAATTGGTCGGCATTTTGCAGACCCCTTCCAGCCCACATTCACCTGGAAACTCATACTTCTTGTAGTATAAAATATAATCACAAATAACACATGCTAAAATGTAATCATACTCCTGTTATCAATCCACAATGCAAACACAAATATCATACGTACAATTCATATTCGCAAACTTAACATTATATCAAATCCATCGCAACACAAACAACATATCAAGTCCAAATTGCAACTCAAACGCAAACATCCTATCAAGTCCATCGAAACTTAACAAATATCAACAACGGCCTTTCCCCTCCCTCTCCCTCTCCCTCTCCCTCTCCCTCTTCTTCCTCTCCCCCTTCCCCGTTCACCTTCGACGTGAGCTCGGATAAGTTCCTCGTCCGGTTGTGTGTGAAGTTGGGAGCGCACGACATCCGCGTCGACTCGATCCGCCTGTGAACATCCGTCCTGAGCCTGTTGTGATCCGCCAGCTTCATCATGTGCACGGCTTGATCCCGCCCCCGTGTGTCCTCGTCGACATCGCCGCCCGTACTCAATTGGTTGCTCCTCCCGTCCATCGCAGCTTGCATTACGCGTCCTCTGAAGAGCCGACCGTATCTTTTTTATCATTCGAAGCAACGTGTTCCTCGGCTCCTGCTCGGTAGTCGTGCGCAACGCGTCATGTGCCATTCCGGAAAGCTCTTCGAGCTCTTGTACCTATAAAATAAAAACCGAAAGAAAATTAGTATCAAGTGGATGGTGAGAAAATAAAACTTAGAAAATAATTGTATATTATTCTTATACACTTACCAACTCTCTCTCGACTGGGCCTCTTGGTATGTACTCCTTCGGGGCTTTGTTTTCCTGAAATATCCACCGACGAGTAATCCCCCAATACCACCATAGGTACACACCTAGGTCAGGTGCATCAGCCCTCTCCATCACTACCTGTTCCTCCCTTAAATCCCAACTCCCGATGTAAGCTTGGCGAATTATTTCCCAATTAGCATGATGTGCACCTTTTATCCAAGCTCTCTCTATTCTCTCCACAGGCCTTGGAATATGTTGCCGTAGTCCAAATTGTCGAAGCACACGGTCAGGCACGTGTATTTCGACAATCTCAAAGCATATTAGTGGGATGCGAGCACGCCATACATCCTTACCTTCCCGGCAAATATCCGGTAGTGACTCCAACACTAGCTCGTAGGGCATCCATTTGACCTATAAAGAAGATATTATGATATAAGATATTATGATATATTGATTGAATATATTTAGATATCGATAACAATTGGTCGCATAATTGAATATATTTAGATATTATAATTTTTATACCTGCTCATCCTCCATCTGATCAAGCTCGTTTCTGTAAAAGTTTTCATGCCCCTTTGGAAAGGTTTGCCAGGATCTGGACACATTCCATCTATTTTATATACAACGGGTTAGTATATATTGAAATAAAACACTAACGTTACATGCATCTTAATAATACCTGCAGCCTAAAGGAATATGGCCATCGAGAGCGCGGGCCTCCCTCAAATCAGGTGTTCCCAAATGCAATCGCTCCCATGACCATATCTGCAGCAAAGTGAGGCAGCCCTTCAATTCTTTGTTTTGTACGAGTGTTATTTTTGTCATCTCCCTATACAAGTAGGCTAACACTGCACTCCCCCAAGATAACTCTCCACACTCCGATAGGTCCCTAAGAAGCGGTAATCATCTCACATGCACGGAATCCTTAGTAGAATCCGGAAAAAGAATAGTACTGATCATATGTAAAATATATGCACGGGCATAGCTCTTAATGATCTCATCAGTCGCATCGATCAGTACATTCATAAAGTTATTCCTTAACCATTCGAGTTTGATCTTTCCCCCCTTCATTGTAGGACAGTGACCCAACAATTCTTCACACGTAGTGCCATAGTGGAAGTCATCGGTGCCCGTCACTGCATCACCATCTACTCTGAGGCCAAGTATAACTCCAGCATCTTGCAAGGTAATCGTCGCCTCTCCTTAGCGCAGGTGGAAAGTATTTGTCTCGGGCCTCCATCGTTCAACCAATGCCGTCAAAAGTGCCCAATCAAGTCTTACCCATTTAAGTTGTGAACACTCAAAAAAACCGGCTTGACGCACATAATATTGTATCTGTGGATCCGTCAACTCCCAGCTAGAGTGTGCACGGGTATGATCGACAACAGTAATACTCGGGGCCTGCATGTAGTAAACAGTGCAAATGTTCAGTAACAATCAACTACATTGAAATTTATATATAATTGAAAATAATAAAAATGCACTTTACCATCCTAGCGTCTATCTTCGCGGATCGGTGGCGCTCTTGGTCATAAAGAACATCACGTGTCAATGGACCCGCCTCCATAACTGAAATATCTGCACATATAACAATGATCCATTAATTTATCTATAATTGAGTCAGAAAAAATTTGATTTTACTATAAGCATTGATTTATAAGCATTGTTTGACTATAAGCATTGATTTTACTATAAGCATTGATTTACAAATGTATAAAATTGTACCCATTAATTGCTATCTATTTGGATTGGTCGGGCAATGAGATCTTCTATGCCCGGCTTGTCTGCAATATCCACATCTATTTTTTTTCGGAGCTCCTTCCCGGCCTTCATCCATAGTACCTTTTAAGCGTACTGATCGTGGTCGTCCAGCTTGTCTCTTATAGCTTGGAGGCACCACATGCGGCCCGTTATAGTGTGGCCAATAACGACTATCATGTACGGGGTGGAAACACTGCTTATATGCCTCTCTATAGTTGCTTGATTGATACCACTCAGAAGCGTATGTGTAATACGAAATATTTGCACCCCCTGATTGCTTGAATATAACCGCTATGACATGTGAACAAGGTAATTTTTGTAATTCTGGTATGTTACAGGTGCATGTGCAATGTGCACCTCCCAAGTTAACGGTGTAATTGTGACCATGTTTGTCTGTCACCTCCCATTCATCTACAGCAAATCTAACAATTTTCGTGCCTCTCGCCTGCTTAACTCGAGCTCCTAAAATCGCCTCATTTTTTGGTGTCAAGAACGAGGCCCACATTGCTCCATCCTCTCGCCGCTTGACAAAATAGTAATTGAGCCTATAAAATGTCCTCGCAACCAACGCCTGTATGGGCATTGCCCGAGCCCCCTTAAGTACCCCGTTGAAGCTTTCAGAACAATTGGTTGTCATCATGCAGAACCGATTCCCTCCATCTTTACTGAGTGCCCACCGGTCGACGTAATCACTGCCCAGACTTCTCTCAATCCAATCATGTGCAGCTTGAGATGTTGCCTTGATTTGATCCCGTATCCGATCATACACATATGTTTCCGGCGTACAACCCGCTTGCCACAGAAGGTTTTGTAAATGAATCTGACTAAAGCTCTTTTTGAAGTTAGCTCTAATGTGTCGTAAGCAATAGCGATGATGGTGATGAGAGCCAAATCTCCTCCACAATGCTTTTGGAATACCTTTCATCCTATCAGATATGAAAGTAATTTTTCTAGGAGGCAACACATTAAAAATATATAATTGAATGCAAGAAAAAAACCACTCCTAATTTTCACTGTTCTCGACCTCCACAACGGCGAAGGCCAAAGGAAATAAGCCACCATCTGCATCAACTCCTGTAGCAACAAGCAGTACACCCTTGTATTTACCGTATAAGTGTGTGCCATCAATGCTAAGAATAGGCCGACAAAATTTAAACCCCTCAATCGAATGCCCAAATACCCAAAAAACATAGGTGAATTGATGAAATCCCGGATCGATCTCTTTGGTTATGAGTTTGTATTCAGATCCAGGATTACTTCTTTTGATCGCATCAAGATATTGAGGTAGTGTCGCGTAAGACTTGTCCCAATCACCAAATATTTTTGTCATCGCAATTCTCCTTGCATTCCATGCTTTAATATACGAGATTTTAATGAACTTGGTATTAAGCACTTTCTCAATTATATTATCGGGCGTTAGATCAAGCTTTTTCCTTAATTTTGGCATAATCAACCGCGCTATGTAAGAGGCAAATGCACCACTGTGATCTTGCTCTAATATTGGATTGACACATGTGTGAACACGCAATATTCACTGATCCTAAATTGAAAATTGTGTTTCTTTCCTGCAAATGCATATAACTTCCAAGGACATGAGTAATCAGCTTCATTTCCCTCGGTCAGACCTGTTCTTTGTGTGTTCATAAAACATATTGCATCATAACTTGTGCGATTGCTTTTAATTTGCTTGAACTTGAAATTCTTTTCGAAAGAGTATTCACGAATAGCATCAACCAATTGGTCCTTAGTCTCGAATAAATCACCAACTTTAAAGGGGGCGTCATCATCTCCTCTACGAATTGAACTTTCACTGATGCACATATCTTTTACTGTGGAAGAACGAATCCACTCATCATCTTCAAACTCGTCGGGAGGTGTTTCTTCGTACTCAACATAGTCATTATTAACGTAAGCCTCATCAGGCCATTCCGGATTATCTTCGACATCTTGGGTAACAAATTGCATGCTATCAACTGGTGCACTATATTGTTCTTCACCTCCCGAGTCATTGCTTATTTCATTCTCTTCAATTGTTGCCCCATTTAACCTCCCCATATTTCCATAAGAGACTTCGTTATTCATGACATCTGACGTTCCACCGAATTGAGCCCGCTCCATTTCATTCGAAGAAGAAAGAAACCCATTGGAATGAACTCCCATATCTAACATGCGTGAGAATTCTCCTGGATGTTTGAATATTTGGCACGAATTATGTGGTAACTTTTCAATAAACAATTCTACCGTTTGTTGCGACATGCCCAATTTAAACATAATACTCATATGATAATCGTTCGAGATCTCCACTGCGGATGTTCTATCAATAGCTATGGGCCAATTGCATATAATTTTCAGTCGGTATTCTCGTGGGTCAATTTCCATAACTCGGTGTAATTCCATAATCAAGTCGTAGTAACTATATGATTCCGAGATCATTAATGGCGTCGTTACCCCTCCGACGTATATTGGCATATTATTCATCCCATAATTAATTTGTCCACTATAAGAACAAGCAATAAAAATCATATTGCTCAACCTATTCAAAAGAAAATTATATCATTTAAATATAAAAAATTAAATTAATATGCAAATAATCTCATATAATTTCAACCAAAAACCCTAATTCCCAAATTGTAAATCCTAAACCCTAAAATTAAACAATTGAACATTCTATGCCCTAAAAGTTAATTACATTAATAACGATCATCATACAAACGAATTTCAGCGATAAAACCCACAAAATTCATTTATGAATGAAAACCCTAGAAATTTATTTTTAAGAAAAAATCTTAGATTTCTATATGTTAAAAGAGGAGAGGAGTAGAAGAAATTACCTAAAGAAGTTTAGATAACCTTTGATTTGAATTTCGGCCGAAAAAACCTCAGATCTGAGGCTTGGTTTCGTGAGAACGGGGACGGAAGAGAGAAGAGGGAGGCGGAGAAACGAAATGGGATGAGGGAGAAAGGGTTCGGTGGCTTTTATACGGGAGGGGACCCAGAATAAGTAGTCGGGTTTCCCAAACCCGACTACTTTTTTCCTTGGCCAAGCACGCGGAAATAGGCTTCGAATTGGTCGGGGTTCCCAACCCCGACCAATTAGTTAAGGGCCTGGCCAGCGGATCAACTAAACAGTCGGGGTTGCCAACCCCGACTGTTTACGAAGCCGATTAAAAAATAATCGACCCGCTTTCTCGCCACGGCGCTGGCGTGGCGAGAAACCGGGTCGATTCCGGTAAATAAAACAGAGGGAGGTCGATTTTGATAATAAAAATTGAAAATGGGGCTACAGTGAAAATTTGTTCTCTTAGAAAATAGGGAGCCAAATAAGGAGCAAGTGCTCCAACAATGCTCACTAAATAGTTTTGGACATTTTTCACTTACCTCCTTTTGTAATACATAATTGTAACGGTTATATTATAACGGCTATATTTCAACAGCTATATCATAACGGCTATATGACCTCTATAAATAATATCATACGCACTCTAACTTTTCACTCCACTCAAAATTGTGTTCATTGTTAGCATCATTTTTCTAATATCATCTATGTCCCATAACAACGAAATAGCAGCGCTCCTCATGGAAGAAGAAGCTGACGAGGAATAACGCAATGTTCTTAGGAATGACCGCCGTTGAAGAGGAGCGGGTGGCTAACGAGAGCAGTGCATCGCGTCGTCTTGGTTCTGTTCTAAGTCATGCTGTCATTCAACACGATAGAGTTCAAGGTCATAATAGACTTTATCGTGACTATTTCGTTGAGGAGCCCATTTATGGTCCACGACTATTTCGAAGAAGGTTTCGAATGCATCGTCACTTTTTCTCTGAATTGCATCCGCGGTGGAATATTTTCATCCTTACTTTGTCTAAAGAAGGAATGCTGCAGGTAATCTTGGTTTATCATCCCTTTAAAAAATAACAGTCACAATGCGGATGCTTGGTTATGGAGTATCTACAAATTTTGTGGATGATTATGTGCGGATTGGTGAAAGTAAGACTATTGAAAGTGTTAAAAAGTTTGTCAAGGCCATTGTTGCAATTTTTGACGATGAGTATTTGACGTCAGCAAACAACGACGATATCAGAAGATTGCTAGAGATTGGTGAACAACACGGATTTCCTGGAATGTTAGAGAGCATAGACTGTATGCA